TTAGAAGTAGCGCTATGTATCCACTGTACTTTAAAATAAAGATATTAAAATGCAATTTAAACTAACCAAATTATAATTTTAAAAGACCTCCTCATCTTATAGTCGAAATTATTTTAAAATCTAAAAAAAGTTTGTGATGTAATATAATACACCCTAAAGCACTCCGGGTTTTGTACTGGTGAAATAAAAATTAATAAAAAAAAATGTGTTTTACCTACCCTACTTTTTATAATTTATGAATTATGACGTGACAAAATAGCGCTGGCTCACGTACATTCTTGTTTGATAGTATCAATTTCAACATCCTTTACCGCGGTGCAATTAAGTCCACTTAAAAACCGCGTTTCAACTTAAATCCTAGCGCATATTTGCCTACCGTCTCGAATGCATTAGCAACTTCCGAGCATTCTGGGTCAACTGGCTGCTTTGAAACCGACCGATGTAACGAGAAAATGTTGTGTAAATGGTCATAGACTTAACTTATTTTTTTTCACAAAATACTAAGTATATAACGTGGTAAGTTAACAGTGACTATGTTACCTGCATCGGCAGATAACATAGTAACCGTTGAAATCTAATCTTGCTTGCTGTCCATTGATTTTTGCTATCAAAAATATGTTCCAGATTTGTTAAACGAATACTTGCTGAGACCAAAATCCCCATTCAAAACGAACCCGACAAGAAATGAGTGGGATGACGATATTTTTTATACTGAGATATAAGTCTCAGAAAACCAAGAAGGCTGCTTCAGAAATAACACCCAGGACGCTAGTAGGGCAGACTTTTGGTACTTATTTATTCTTTTAAAGTAAAATGGGAGGTCATGAAAAAACAAACTAATATAGTTAATAATTCGCTCCCCTACAAATAAGCTAGGCGTGCTAGCACCGGAAAGAGGTTGACCTTTTATAAGATTTATACCAGAATATATTTATAGTCAGAACCAAGACATGTCAAGACAAGTCTATTCCTGCCTGGTAATTAATATCTGTATGAGTAAAGAGGAAGCAGACGTAATTACTGGCTCAGGGAGCGAAGTTTTACTTACCTTGATGTAGACGAGATACTAAAAGGGTATTTCTAAATAAACACATGTAGAGAGTATAAAATATTGTCTTTTTACGTATAACTTAGTGTAATTTTAGCTTAGTATTATCTACTTGACTAAGAACTATTAAAAAAACTTGATTGTCTTTGACACTAACAATTACATTGGTGTTATAGAATCTTAGAAAATTTGTTGTGTTTTGTCATAGGATAGTTTATAAAAATATAAAAACTTTATATCTGACTCATAACACAAGTTGAATGAAATTAAAATATTTGTGCTAATTTACATATTGACAAAGAATTAAAGCCGGTGCTGTAAAAATATGGTCGATTTGTTTCGCAATGTGATCGTCACGTCGTATTATAATTTGTTAAGTTACATTTGTCCTTCTAAACAACACTATATACCTATAAATACATACTAAGTACATTCGAAGTACCTATATTCAATTATTCGTATGAATTATTAACTAATTCAATCTTAGTCTACCTTGAAATACAAGTCTACATTGGCGTGCTATTATATGTATATATTGATGCTTGCAATAAATGTTAGCTACATTTATTGCAAGCATCAACAACTTCGTTGTTGCACTGTTGAGGAAACTTCAAATAAGTTTCTTAACAAAACAAAACTAACCTGCAACTTCTCAAATCCAAAGTTATCCAGTTTCATCATATATTTGTAAGTTTCAAATACAAAATCAACATTAATTAACATAAACTAATGATTTAAGTTAAAATATATCACAACACTAACTTTAAAGTTATCACTTTTTATCAATATTTGCATTTGAAAATCACATAACAAAAATGGCGCTAAATAAAAATACCATTAGGTTACTTTTTTTAATATTTAAATGTTAAAGGCTCAAGTGATATGCGTCCACCGATGACGCGATCGCGCGCCATATAAGATTACAGACTTGTAAACTTGTAAGCTCGAAGGCACTTTATGTCGCCAAGTTCAAATAGGCAAAGTGCATGAGATATATCAAAGTAACACATGGCCGTTCAATTTAGCCGCGTTAACGGCCCGCGTGCCGAAATGCAAATGAGAGTTTTGTTTATCCACAAGTTAGCGGAGACATACGGTATGGCGTGAAATATCGCTACCAAGTGCCGACCGTATTGATCAAACTTTAAGAATCCAGTTCACAAAGTAAATGTTCAACTAAAGGTATCGTTTGTCCCCACTATTAATGGAAAAGATTTATTTGGTAGACAAAATGTGGTGAAGTTTACGATTATCTACCTGTATTTATGAAGGTGGTTTAAAGTTTAAATTATCGCCCAGCGTTGAATCGCACAAAACTCCCATTTAGCATACCAAAAAGCTCTGTAACTGTCCGACACAGTTGGTAAAAATTAGTAACAATGTGAATATAACAATTTAACGGTAAAATAACAGCTGTCCGACTCTAACGAGATACATTTTGATTTTCTTCAGTGATTTCATTAATTAAATTTACGATTAGGTATAGGACAGGTTAATATTGTTTAAATTTAACTGAATTAATAAACACGACATTTTCTTTCCTATTCAAATATTCTTACATGATACCTAAGTTACTAGGCTTTTTTTTAGTTTATTTTAAAGGCAGATTTATTAGTTACCGAGAAATTAATTGCTTACTTTTGCCGCTCGCTCCAAAGTCCTTATTGGATATTTCACTTTCAAATCTCAGTAGCGAGTCGCTTAGGCACATTCTATGTTATATTTCTAGGCACCATATTGAACGAATTCATGTAATAAATTTAATAGAATCGCTGAATAAGCGATGGAGAATTTCTTGTATATTCAAAAATATAAATGAAATTCAATATACTACTTGAAACAATAGACTTGAATGCATCGGTCATCTAACACCGCGGGCAGCGGACAGTAACGCCCCAAATCGCATTCCAGTCCACTATGACAAAGGCGTCGCGTACCGGGCGTACGGTATGCGAGCGTCTCGCTTACGTATTCAGTCTGCAATCCAATACACTACAAAAAATCTACCATATAACCCGCGCGAACCCATGACCTCTAATCCAAAGCCATAGGGTCCAAAATTAAATGACAAATAATATTAAGTATATGTTGAACATGTAGTACCATTGTATGTTCATTAACATTCTCCTCTACTATGTTATAAGTATTATGATTTACCATTTGAAATTCAACTTCATTTGTTTGAATCTAAAGTTTCATTTATTTACAAGTAAAGTTATGACAAAGATTTTAATGGCGCCAAACAACACAAGATACATAATGTAATGATATACAATTGAACCTGGATAAGCAAGAAACCTCTATATCCTGGAGACTTTGTCTGGTCACTATGGATATCTTCGGTACAGAGAGAAATCTCTATTAGTAAGAAAAATATTGTGGTCCTTTGGACTCTCGCTTATATAGGTTCAATTGTATTAGACGCATATCTTTAAGCAATGTCATGTTTAATAAAGAAAATTAAATAAAAAGTCTGTTTTCTACTTTTCAATAATATAAAGAAAAAATAAAATATCTAGTCATTTAAGAAATTAAAAATTTATTTTGTTCGCACTAACTTCCATTTAAAAGTGCTCAGTCGCCATTGTTGGTTACCCAACTCAGTATGAAAATGCTATCTCGGAAATCTAAATTACTTGCCTGCGTTGTAACATTTAGGTCTTACTTTGAGTATGAACCATACAACATAATCATTTTACTAAGGAATTATGCAAAAGTAAAAATAAAGTAGATTTAATTCTTTCTTAATAAGGGCAAAGGCACAGCTTGATAAATTAAAAAAAATGTTATGAGTAAAAACATTTAATACCATAAAAAGTATTTGTTACAACTAGTTTACAATCTCAGGTGGGATATCCGGACAAACTGGATAGGTTTGATCCTGAAAATGTTAATAATTCATCAGGATTCGATTTTAATTTTTCTACTAACATTTGCCTGTTGAATCTTATCTCTCTTATATAGTCAAATCTTAATCCTCTGATTTTATTTATAACTCTCCTACGAAGTTTGTTTTCTGTAGCTGGGTTTTTGAGAATATTCTCCAAATCAATTAGATCATCAGGTAATTCAATAGCATCCTTTTGTAAAGTTTCATGCTCATATTCAACATGTACATCTGGCAAGCCGTTCCTATGATTTCTTTCATGGTTTTTCACACAAATATGCCTATCAAATTCCACATCTTTTAATATTTGTTTTCCTTCATCATCAAATATGATCCTTTTGTTTTGTTCACAGGTACACTTTTCTTCGCCGTCAATAATCTCTAAATCGGAAGACGTGGTTTGGGGTTCACTAAACAAATTTAATAAATGACCATACTTATTTTCGATATTTCTTATAACCTTTTTGCACTTATTATAGAGTGTTCTTAACTCTTCTAAATCATCTTTGTTTATTTCACAACATTTTGAACTCTGTTCAGCAATCTCTGAATTAGAGTGTTTACGTTTTCGATTTTTAACTTTTAAAACTTTTTGTTCAGTAACGTCATCTTTATTTTCATCTTGTATTTCGGATTTGACTTTCGTATTTTTAAGCTCTCTGACATGATTCTTTATTACGACGTATTCTTCTGAAGCCAGATTTAATTTTTCCGGTATTACACCTTCTAACCAATCCTGCACAATCATAACAAAAACTGTTCAACTTCCAAACAACGCACGTGATTTTGATAAACTACGAGTGTAAATGTTTTAATTTGATCTTAATACTGAATTCGTACTATTTTTGTCTTAATAAATTGATAAACATTAATGATCAACTTAATCGAAAACTAGACACTATAACCTATTCACATGGCAGATTTTTGACAGTTCTCGATGTCGACAACATGGCGGACAATTACGTCACGATCGTTCGGAAACGCTTGTGGTTGTGCGAAGTGTTGTTTTATTTAATTTGAATTTAAAACATCCACGAATGTACAATAAAAAATCACATTATTTTAAGATCGTTTAGTGATTGGTTTTTAAAAACAAAAAACTTGTGCGCTAAGAATAACTTTTCTATTGTAGTTTTACAAGAATAGTAGAATACAGTAAGGTACTTTTTCTCAACAACACAAATTTATATGAAGGAAACTAGCTTATTAAAACAATGCTTTTTTATCAAACGTCTTTATTTTTCCTTTTTTTCTTTTTCTTAGGTTTATTTAGACTTACATCTATTTCTTCTATTTCACTTATATCTTGTTTTCGCTTCTTGCAATCTTTCTGTGTGTCTATGTCAGATTCCTGAAGTGAATTTTCTGAATTCACTTTCTGTTTTTTCTTTAATTTTTCAATCTGCGGTACATCTTTAGTCTTCTCACAAAACTCATTCATCTCATCAATGTCTTTGCACTTCTTTTTTTTCTTTTTCTTGATTTTTGGTTTATCTTCTAAATTGTCAACATGAGCACCATTTTCTCGATCATTTGTTAACTCTGTCTGATCACTAAAATCATTATTTTCAACAATATCTTTCTGATCAGCAGTTCCTAAAAAGCCTTGGAAACCACAGTTTGGTTCATCCTCCCAATCCAATTCTGGCTGAACCTGTTTTGTATGTGATGTTTTATTTTTGGACTTGATCACTGCCATTTTATTTTTAAAGTAATCTTCCATACTTCCCTTTTCTGTAAATACTTGCTCAGTTGGTATTGACTTCTCAGCAAGAGGACTCTCAGTTACATCCTCTTGTTTAAAGCTTTTCTTACCGAAGATATTAGCTAAATCTTTTTCACTATACCGAGACAAATCTTTTCCCCGAGTAAATTTATGGTAATGAATCCTTGCTTTACTTTTTTTCGATTTATCTTCAAGAGAAACTCCACTGTGTAATTTTGGGCTGTCGTCATTAGCTAAAACCAAAATATTATTAATAATATTCTTAAAATATTCCTACTAATGGCTATAATATATTCAATGTTTATTTTTATTACATATTTAAGTTGCTTTACACATTTATTAAGAGCGTAACAATTACATCTGAGTATAATATAATTTACAACAAATCTAGTTTCAAATACAATTGAATTTATAAAAATGAGCACATCTATCAATGTTTTATTATTTAATAAACACTATTAATATTAAAAACAAAAGGTTATTTACCGTTGGATAAATTTGCAAGTAATGAATTGAAATCATCCTCATGTTTGGTCCATTGGTCATTTTTGTCTTCAAAACCCAGTCCTTTTTCATCATTTTTATATCGAGCCACAACATGCTCAACAATTCCATTTTCATTTGCACCTAACCCTTTTCCTGATGTCCAACCCATTTTCTCCAACATACGCTGTCCGAATTTATTAGTATCATTGCTCCATTCACTATTTTTAGCTCGAAGATTTATAACTTTTTGCTTGCGGCGGGGACCCGCAAGCATCGACATTATTAAGTTTTAAAATCTATCACTTGCACGTGTTGATAATGAGACCACTTCATTTCTAAACGTCAAAATGGACGACGTTTCGTTAAGACGACAATATTACAAACTTGAATCGAAAGAGACGGCGATATAGACGCGCGCGCGTTAAGTTGGCGGCATTGAGGACGTTCCGTTTAACATGTTTTACGTAGAGCACAAAATGTAAAGGGGATTCTCCACTGCCATAATCAATAATTGCTTCGTTGAGAGAATAAGTTCCCTTTTAAAAAAACTTACACGAGTGCTAGAGCAGTTAAAATTCACCGTAAAGTACAGAATCGTCTTGTAAATCCACGAGCAACAAATTACCACTGTTTCGTAAATCCCGAAGCAGTTGGTTGCCTTTCTTTGCTAGTTTCTTTTTTCTGAGGTTATAAACCTAACTAATTTAGAATTTAGTGTGAAGAAGTTTTTTTTTAAGTAAATGAATTTTTAGGAGGTATTCTGGTCACTCCTATTAACATGAAAATTCTATTCTAAAACAAAAATTCACATTCATGTCCAGTCATGTTCAATATTATCTCCGATTACGTACTTTAATGACAGACCGAAATGTAATTTAATCTGCACAAAATTAGTCTGAATTGCGACGCGGTGGGCGTTACAATACATACAAATGCCAGATGTTACTTATCTTTATTGCGCACGATAGCATTAATAATTTATTCATGCTTGCATTTTAATTATGAAAATTTGTGAGGTGGTTACTACTACACAAGGTCACGTAAAACAAAAACAACAAACAAGTAATAGCTTGTGATGTAAATAAGTTCATTCTTTTTGCTACAATACCAAACACGTATGCATGTACTGATTAATTTAACCATACATACTGGTTATAGGAATGTACTGATTTTACCATACAGTCTGATTCAAATATTTTATTTGGTAAACTGCTATAATATTTGAAATAAACTTCTGAAATATTTCACAGCTATAGCCCGTAATCTCTTTGTTTGAGAACAAAATCCAAACGTCCGGTTATCACGACATTGGTGGAACGTGATGTTATTTTTTATAGTCATTCACCGTGATGAGAAAATCGTTAGTGGTCAGTTTAACTGTGGGTAAAACAAATTGTTAATATAGCGGGCAATATCTTATACAATGAATTTATAGGAACTTTACTGTTACACCAAATGACGGGGATAGTCCTTTGGTTTGTAGAAATTAGGAATTTTATTGTACACTTGCCTGATCATCGGTTCATATAAAAATGAAGAAATTTTCATTTGTTTTGTTTCAATATTAATTAAGTACAGCGTTTAAAACGTTGAAACTTTTCTCGAGACAGATAATAGAAGAAAGACTTAAAGAATTGTTTTTTGTACGAATATCGTTTAGTTTAGCTGAGATTCGTCTTGTTATAAATATGCAATTGTCTAACCATCAACCAGGTGTTCGTTGAGACCGGTTTTTAAGAAAGTAAAAGTCTTATTTTAATAATTTTGTCGAACTCCACCATGACGAAATTGGTAATATTGAACAACTTTCTTACACGTTTTAACATAATCGTCGACAAAATAAACTTCGTGTCTATTCATTTAAAGCGAAAAGTTTAAGAATATACAGTTTTCTTTAGTGAAGTACTGTGTGATAAATATCTACTTAATTAGTTAAGAAATATTGTGAAGTCACGCGTAATATTTTAGTTTCGTTTGTTGATTACAGAGGAAGTGGGTGTTACAATTTGTAACACTTGAGGTCAGTGTAGATAATTTGTAAGGCCAAGACAGGAACTACATTATTCTGCTGATAAGTTATCAGTCAATCCCCCGCAATATCTAAACGCGCATTGCTTTGTCAAAAATATGATACTTTTGAATGATGGACTTCTCCGTTCAATGCCAGCGACGAAAAGAAATCACAATAATTGTCAAATTCGAATAATTTATACAAAACTGAACTACGAAATTATTTAGTAAATTGGTGAACTTTTCAGTGATTTTTGAGTATATTGCGTGCAAACATATCGAGGTTGTTTCGTTGTTTGCTCTAGTCCACGACCCCGTCCGCGCAGAATAAAAAAAAGTAAGTAGCCCATGTGTTCTTCAAGACTATTATCTACATATGTCCCGAATTTCAACAAGATCCTTTGAGCCGTTCTGGAGATACCTGGTAGCAAACATCCATCTATCCAGCCATCTAAATTTTCGCATTTAATATAAAAAATGCTGATAAGATTTTAAATAACAAAAATTGGACTATCTAGATGTTTTAAGCAAGTCATCTTTGAAATCCCGTATGAAACGGACATTGCGTATGATGTTAATTAAAGTGTTATACGTTGACAAGTACCAAAGAAGGCGATACAGTTTTCATTGACTGTCCAATGAGGCAGTCAGACAACAACCGGTCGTTAGGAAAGCTCGCAGGAAAACGGGGCTACTGAACTTTGTATTTAATAAATCACATGTTACGGGACCGATGGTACCTCTTATACCTAATGCTGTAATAGACATAATTTTCATAACAGTCAACTAGTTAGAATGCATCCCATGAGGCTGTAAGATCGAATCCATCGACTTATAATCGTCTAAAGCACGATTTGTATATTATAAACCATTTTTTAAATTGTCTTGACTTGTGAGAACTGACTTGACTTGCGAGAACTAAGATGATATGACTCATGACTTTCGGAGAAGTTTTTCATTTTTATTTAAAAACCCTTTGCCTGGGTCAGTATTGGAACGCGTTTTTGATATTCGTCCTTTATTCAAAGCTATAAAATAAAACATCCAAGAGATAATTAGAAGGACTTAACGGTGTATCTCGGAGGCTGAACGCCTGTGCCCGAGGCCAACAAAAATAAAACAAAATTATTGGCGGCCCGACCGCTTTGCCGACGACAGCTGCGAATTGGCGCGAAACAGGTTTCGGCAGGAATGGTGACGTCATCTGACATGTGCCTTCTCCAATTTTGGACGTTGTCGTGTAAAAAAATATGAACTCTTTAAAAGATCCATATTTAATCCTACAGCTCCTTATTAAATAATATAGTTTCAGTTAAATTGGTTGTGCAATATTGTTTTCGTGCCTATGTTACGTCAGAGACAAAGAGAAATAAAAAGAAAATTGTGGTATAAATCGTATAGGATTTGAATGGAAATCGAAATGGAAAACAGCAAGCATATTTATTAAATAGAGTAACTTAGAGAATAGAGTGAATTTCTATTCTTTCCCAATTAGTCTTAAAAGACACTTTCACATGCCTTGACTTATTCCCTACCATACCTATATATCTTGTTAAAATCTTCTAATGAAAGAAAAAGCTATCATTGTTGCTAATAAACAAATTTAAATAAAACACTTTTATAATAATTGGAGCAATTAAGATAATAACAACCGGCCTGCGTACATTCGTAATGCCATTGTATTAATGTGGGAAAGAAATTATCAGTGCAAAGTTCTCATTTCAATGTTAATATATATATTATATGTATATTATACGTTTTAGTTACTTAGTTTTTTAAAAATATGTTTTTATAAATAACGCGATCATATCTAAGGGTTTTGTTTTTTTTTTTATATTTTGTAAGTGAGCAATAAAAGGTCAATGTAGCAGATATAGTTTTTAAAATATATAATAATGTCTTTATCCACAGATTATTTTAAGTTCTTAAGGTAGTTAGACTAAAGCGATTCTAAAAAATGTCAGGATTTCTTATTTTTAATCAATTCCAAAACCATTGGACACTTTAGGTTTTTTCTGAGGACGCCAGGTTGTGCTAAAAAATCTTAAAAATATTTATTTATTTATTAACTCTTACTGCTATAAGTGACTGAAACTAATTCTAACATATCGCTTTTTTATCTAGGATTTTATTGAGATTGACGATATTTTTCTTTTGTCATAAAATCGAATTAACCTAGTTGGTAAAAAAATTATAGAATAATTCATTAATTTATCTTTCGACCGCATCATTATTTATCAACAGAGAGCGTGGTCAAGCGCTAGCTCAATATAAAAAAAAAAGTTTAGTTACACGATTGAACTAAAGCATTAGCTATATTAATATAAAATAATGCGAGAGCTTATTAAATTATAACCTTCAATTTATAGTTTCAAATACTTTGTGGCCATCGCGCCAAATACCTTTCGTATGTGTCACGATATTGAATGAATTTAAAATGCACATGTTGCGCATGCCGACATTGTTTTTGTAAGCTCAGCAACTATACGTTTAAGGCAGAATCAACCATTAGAAACGTTAAGCTGCTAGCAAAAAAGGACTAGAAAGTTATCTACATTTTTTTCAGGTTCAAGGAACATGTCTGTTATACAGACATCATACTAAAATTATATTGTAAATGCGAATATTTAGATGGATAGATGTTTGTTTTGAAGGTAACTATAGATGTAATGTAGAACATAGTCTGGAAGAACACAGGCTACTTACTAGGTTTTTTTATTTTCGCGCGGGCGGAGTGGCAGGAAAAAGGGTAGATTATTGTTGGAATATTTTGTACGTAATAAAATCAGTGGTTGATCACTGGTTACTGTAGACATCAAACTCGGAAACAATAAGTGTAAACAATAAATTTGTCTTGCATACTGAGAAATATTTGTCAATATTTCTTATCTAAACAACGAATTCTTTAACAATATTTTCCTTTTTTAAAGGTTTTGATTCGCTCTTGCTACTAATTGTAGATAAGTTACGAATAAAGGATGCGATGATAACATATGAAAGTAATCTTTTACTATATACGCTCTTTAACCTGTCATTTAAACATAACCAATAAATATTATATTGTATTGTATAAAACTGAATATTAGCACTTTAATGCTTTAAAATGTATAGCAAAAATTTAATACTTTTTATGTAAAGATACAGAATTTGGAATAACAACGAGTGATTTGCTCCAACGTATTATTATCAACTAAAACTGACTTCATACCTGTTTGACAAGTCCTAGATATCTTCGAATACGTTAACTATTTACTATTTTATACTAAGTTTATGAACGAGAAACAGAAACATTATTTATTTTACTTTGTCTAATCCCTGTTCTTAATACTAACATTAAGACAATTAATTATTATCTTTAATGATTTTTACTTCTACCAATATGAGAGTTAGCTTTAAATAATAAGTCGTTGCACTTTAATAAGTTGTTTAAAAGGATCCAATGTGGTCTAGCGGCTTAACTCACCTGAGAATCACTCCGGACATGGTTCAAATTGTTGACCACGACTCCGTTTTCGGATGTCATAGGCTCCATCGTTGTAATTTCATCATCCAAATACACTTCAAAGAACACAACACATTATATCTAAGTCTTGCTACCCGTCTCAATCAAAAATTTAGACAAAAATCACAAAACAATATACAAAACACTTCTTTCTCTAGGCACTTTACAATTTAGTTGGTTTAAACGTAAACCAGTTATCAATACACCTTTATTAAATCGAACTTTCAGTTATTATTGTGTAATTTGTTTTAGTTTCGAGCAGTTAAATATGTACAAACAAAGTCTAGGCCCGTACCTAAGGACGCCAGGCGGCGAAAAGTTAACCGTGCGTGATTTCTTGCCGCTTTGAAAACCGAATGGTCATATAAGCTATCAATCTTTGCATACCAGAGTGGTGAGGTGAAACGGAGATTGTCGCTTTCGTAATTTCGCAGCGAGTGTGAAAGGGACGGCTTGAGGGCAGGTACAACCGTCGTGAAGTAAGCGGACAGTATCTACAGGTTTTGCTCTCCCACTACAAGCGGTGGCGCGGACTCGGAACTACAACGAAGCTCGAAAGTCAACTATATTTAAGGCTGCGTAGACGCATCATAATATCGCCTTACTTACTTTATCTTGCGTTGTATATTTTCTACAATTTGTATAAATAATCAATTTCTAATATTGATAAAATGTGAAAATTATATAATAGATCAATATTATGATTATTATCCTAAAAGTATCTGATCTGTAGCTTTTACTTTTTTAACTTTGTATAAAAACTCTTTTCAGTAGGCTAAAAAAAGTATTGAAATTAACGTCATTGATCAGATATTGTGAATTATAAATTAATTAAGAACATCCCAATACACCCCTGGTGAAGGCCGGGAGCTAACCTCTACAAGGGCCACTCTTGCGCATGGACCCGCGCACACAAACAAACTTAAGCTACACGCACACACGAACACAATGGGATGCACACAGCAAGGATTATTCTTACCTGTTCTTTATACTCCTATATAATTGGCCATTTTTTATGAAAGCTACATTTATAAATACTTATAAAGAGCTAAGAGGACAGGCACAGTTGCTTAGCCTTTCCTAACAGAAAAGGTTTTACAGTCAATTTCGTTATGAAATTGTTTTGTTTTTATTTCTTCCTGGTTTAAATAAATAGGTTCAATAAAAAGAAGATGGTCTAAAGTATATTGGTCAATAAATTTGAAAAAAATAATTGTTAAAATAAAATACATAAATATAACAAAGAAGTTTAAGTTCGCATTATCTGTCATGAAAATTAAAAAAAAACTGACATGTGAGCAAGATAAAATGTCATGGGACGTCAGGAGTTTATAATGATCGTGGCGGTGTCAGCCACCCTGACCTGCGCAGCTACAATCCTCGACAACATCGGCGGACGACGCCGGTGGCCATAATGGTAACGCACAAACCTACATAATTATTAATGAAAAAAAAGTAAAGATTGCAGATGAGTAAGTGAAAAGGCAAAAACCCACAGTAAGAGCATACAAAAGTTACATTTTGATAAACACGCTTATTCGAGCTCTAAACGTACTTAAGTTTTATTATACAATTATTCAGACTCTACCCTAAGTCTTAAGTATATTTCTCAAGTACTATTTAATATTTTTATTTCAGATACCAAAATAAACAATGTACAACCAAGAAGCAGTACATCAATTCCGAAAAGATGACACGATAGTTCCATACAACATAAACTAATAAAAGAAAACACGAAATGGCTAAAATACCCCATCAACTTTAAATAAACATTAAAATCATAACTTCTTAAATACTACTTTATTAAAAGCACATTTACATCAAAATGATTTTCAGCAGAGCATTTTGTGGCGGTATAAAACCGACCAGATTATGGTATTTAACTGGAATGAAGCATTTCAAAAAAGTGATTGACAGCAGACATGAGGCTGGCAACCGTCCTTTCTACCCGCGAGATCGACCAAAACTTTTACAATTAATTGCCTTCAATGTAACCGTACTGGGTGGTATCCTGTACAGTTATGGATGGTTCACCCCCAAAGTTTGCCCCGGGGGCGACGAAACAGACGCCAGCGGTCCAAAGAAGGTATGCAAAAATATCAAAGGTCAACCTTGTCCCGCTGATGAGAAAGATAGAATGCCAGAAAAATGTCCTGAACCAAACAAGTCAAAAAAGAAATAGGAAATGTTTGAACTTAATAAATCTTAAAGAAGGTTTTACTTTGTTTGATTTGTAATCTTAATAAAATACTTAACAAAATGGAAGCTAAAAGATTTTATAAAAAGCAAAAAGTAAGATTTTCAACGACCAATTAAAAGCCAGACCAAATAATAAGAATAAATTTTTAGTAAAATCTTTAATTTGCTTATTCTATGGCGAAAAGCACTTCGTAGCCTTTTAGATCTATAAATATTAAAAATCTGTATGGCTTCATAACCTTTGTTCCTTTGACCATTTTGAAATTTACCATGATATTATCTCCTTGGTATTTAACGAGAAAAAAGTTAATCAAAATGATACAAACATTAAAAGCTCTTGTGGTGTCAATTGGTGTGGTAGCCGCTTATCATTATTACGTTACTAAATAATAAGGTAAGAAAACGCACGAGAAAGTAATAAAAAAAAAGAAATTTGTGAAAATGATTTTGTAATCAATGTAACTCAATTAAGAAGAAAGCAATAAAAAGTAGGAATACGATAACGTAGAAAGTTATTAGATGTTTATTAATTATTTTCAAATTGCATAACTAAATTTGTTTTTACATCATGTATATCATTTATTTATTTAAAATCAATTAAAGCGAACAAAATTAAGCTATATTCATACTAATTTCTTAAAGAGGAAAGATTTGATATTTTGCATTGAATGGGCTCCGAGAGCCGATTGATAAAATTCTTTCGCTGTTGGGAAGCTATACTAATCCCGGGTGACATACGGCCAGATCCCAATCCGGTAATAATAACGAAGTAACGGGCTCGAGCCGAGGTTCCTGAGGGAGCCCTCGAGCTTAGTTACTCTTGAGGTTTAGGCTAAGTGCCATCTGCGCTCGACCACCTCTAGCCCGGTGAAGCTGTAAATGCCTCCTCAAGGCAAACAGTGGCAATTCAATCACAAAAAAATACGGCCAGACTTTTTAAAAATTCCGTTAGGAAAAAGTTGCGTGCAAAAGCTATAATAATGTAAAAGCATTAGCATTTTATTAGACTAACAAGAGTAGCATGTTTTTAAAGTAACTATAAATAGAAACTTAAGTAAGAAAGAAATTTAAAATCTGTCTATGATTAAAAAAAAACATTAATATCTTTGAATTGTGACAAGAGCTGTCAAAATTTTATTTCAGCTTATTGATCTGTTGTTAAAAATTCGAAATTCTCCATCAAATATGGATAGAATAGAACAGTTGAAATTGATATTACTGGTCATATCAATGGGGTCCATCGTGCATTATACGTATGGTATTTACAAACCTCCAACAACACCATTGATGAAATACGAAGATAGGAAGCCTACCCCTATTATAGATGATAGCGAGACAGCGACGTTACAAGGCTAGGAAAATTAAGAAAATTTAAAACTATTTGAAATAAATATTCGTTACTATTTTGTGTATTTATTTACTGATGTATGACATTTATAATGTCTTTTTTGGTTAATCTTACTAATATTATAAATGTGAATGTTTAGATGTATGGATGTTTGTTTAAAGAACCAGAACGGCTTAACATATCTTGATGAACACATAGGCTACTAATTATGTTTTAATTCCGCGCAGGTAGAGTCGCGAGCGACAACTAGTAATGTTATAAATGGTCAAGACAATCAGATTCATACAATATGTAAAGTAGAATTGCATAAGTAGATTATCAAATTGTATTTACATAGTCAATCAAACAATATTTCGTATGTCGTAAACTATTATTATCGTTTAAGAAAAAATCATACCCTCTTCCGCTTTTTGCGTCCAGGAAAAGTGTTGGGAGGCTGAGGCGGTGGCGGTACGTGATAGAAATATGGCGGATTGAAGAATTCCTCCATCCCAGTCGCAAACGGCGCCCTCAACTGTGCCATGGATCTAACAGTTCCGTATATATTGCGATTACGTCCATGATTCGTTTGATACATATTTATCATTGCACCAATAAAGAATCCATATGCACTTATAAACTTTCACTAAAAAGCGCGGGAAAGACTGACTTTACACACTTATTTTTTTTAATATCTGTTACCATGAGGTTTCTAATAGATAAATATTATTTTTAATATTTGAATCATTAGAACCTCGTAATTTAACGAATCGATTGACGTGTGCGTGCGTTATGCGGTACTGTAACTAAATGAAATTTGTATTGTAATGCAGATGAAATGATGAACACACTCCATCTAATTATCATAGTTTATCTGCTTTTTCCAATAGGATACGTGGAGCGCGACGTATCGACATAGTTTTGTTTGTGTAATGAGAGAAAAACATGCACGCATTCGCGCGCTTCGACACACTTCAATACGTTTAAAAAGTTTGTCATTTGAAAAAAAAACTATTGATTAATTGTTAAACACAAATTATCATTATGCTATTGGATTTTTTGTATTTTATTTTGAAAAAATCGAACGCAAAGACGATAACTTTCACGTGGCGATGTAAATTAAGGTTTTACTATCTATATATACTAATATTATAAAGTGGAAAGTCTTCATTGTTTGCTTGCATTGAACAAGTTCCCAAACTAACTGAATCTATTTGAAAAATTTTATGACTGTTGGGAAGTTATGCCCGGTTCACATAGTCTACATTCATTACTAGATTTTTCTTATTCCGCGCAGGCGAAGTCGCGGGTAACTATCAATCTTCATATAATATAATAATCAATATTCTAAATTGTGATAAAAAAATTTCAACACTTATTGGAACCAATCTCACAGCAAACGCCATCTACAGTGGCATTAAAAAATCTAACGAGTTACTATTGAGTACGCTCCCAAAGTTCGTATTGTTATTAAAAGATGGCGCTGTACAATTACGAGCTTTTAGAAATATTACTTGCTTGTTTGTTTTATATGTTGTATATGTTGTTAATGCTTTGTTTATTTTACACAATTGTTTGAAATATAAATTAAATCTTAAAACGATTTTTTTTTCAAAATACTTATTAAATAAATTAAATAAAAAAGTAGAAATCAAATCTAATTATAGTTAAACACAAAACACGTCACTAATGACATGTAACGTACGTCAAATTCAAAATAAATCGCGTTGAGAAAATGGCTAATAAAATTTTATAGAGCAAACAATTAAAATGGTACTTTTATCGATACCACCGATCGTTCTTCCAACATAATTTTTATAATGGCTACAAGGACTTGCGCAAAGTTTTTTCTTACACTGATATGCAATAAAGTGTATTGCGCGAGTGGGAAGGACAACGGCTTTGGGAATAGCTACGTTTGGGCTGGATCACTGGAATCTGGGATACAAATAGGAACGCACCACAAGAAGCCAGTAATGGTAATCATACACAAGTCGTGGTGCAAAGCGTGTAAAAATCTGAAACCAAAGTTCGCGTCCTCAACAGAAATACAAACATTGAGCAAACATTTTGTTATGGTTAATTTAATTGATGACGAAGAACCGGAGGGCAATACATATTCTCCCGACGGAACGTATATACCTAGGTAACCTGTGTTTAAAACATTTCTTTGAATATATCTAATGACGACCATTATAACTATCCAATGTAATATCGATAGATTCTACAAAAAAATCTTAATTATAGTAGCTTGAGCTATATATTCCTTAAGTTGTCACATTAGGATAAAGAGTATTCTTGTTCTTGATGTGCCAAATCATATGCCAGGCATTATAATTAGACGAGATATGGATGCCACTCATTGATTCATGGTATTGAAAGTGCAACGTTGGAATGAATGAAAGAGACACTTAAATATCATTCAGTACAGCGTAAAAGATTCAAACGACTATGCCTCTTAGCATTTAGAAGTGATATACGTGTGTGCGAATCTTTGAGAAGTTAATTATGTAACGCTGGAATATACTGAATAAGGGTCGGAACCAAATCTTTGATTATTAGTCGTCTTGTATGTAGTGGGACAACTTTTAGTAGATAGTATGTGGTTTCATATTGGTGGTATCGTAGAAAAAAAATGTTTCCTTTTGACTTGATTTGATTTTTTTTACAGAATACTATTCGTTTCGCCTAAAGGTCAAGTAGACCATGATATAATAAACGAGGATGGCAGCAGTCAACACAAATTCTTCTATAGTAGACCGGAGCAGATTGCTAAATCAATGAAGAAAGTAATACAAAAATATAAATTAGAAGAGTTTAATGCGTGATTGTATTTTAATATAAATAAAGCGGTGGTATGCGCACTATGTTATTATTTTCACTTTAAGAAACTTAACAAAGAAGTGTGGATTTAGTAAATATTTTTTTCTCATCTCCAAACTTATACTTCGACTAATATTTGGGAAGATGAATAAAAAAAAATGTAATATCAGTATGGCGATCGATCTTTTATGTGCATGACTCTACAATCTCAACTGAAAAACAAGCGCTTTCATGTTTATAGAACAGCTGTGGGCTTTTGAGAATCATAGAACCGAGTGAATGATTCATACTCAACCCTACTTTATTCAATATTTCCAATAGATAAGTATAATGTTGATATTTTCTATACATATATGAAAAAAACGCAAATCAGACCAATCAAACAATATCTGATTAATTGCTCCTTAACATTTTGAATAGCAAATCGGTAGAATATTGTTAATTGCCTTCATTTCACGTAAACCTTGTTCCAGGATCAGGTCTTTGAAAAGAAGGCTTCCTCCTTCCTTTGTTTGTTTGTTATGGCAAATTACTTATACTACTTACATCTTCGACGACAGGCTCGACATACATTTCCATGGTGTTGTTGAGAGGTGGCAGCGGCATGGGTGAGGCCGCTGCAGATGAGCGCCGCGACGCGCTCGCGCACGAGCATTGCGACACCGAGCGACGCGATCGGGGAGATTCTCTGTTGGAGAGACATTATGAGGTTAACAATAATAGTAAATCGAGCTAAGGTTCTGCGGAGCTAGCAACACGACCGATATAAGGCGGTAGCGCGCGACCATATTCGTGTTATTACTCACATAGTGGAAACAGACACAAACTGGTACGTTAATTTAATTCGAAAAGAGGAAGTGTGGCTAGACAGTCACGATACTTCCTCTATCAAACTATCGAATCTTGAAATAAATATGTGAAGAGGTTATCTAACTTTCTACGATTCCTACGACGTTAGAGGTTAATAGTACAATATTTACTGATATTTTAAATATATTGTCGCCTTAAAGCTAGCGTTTGTCGTAACATAGAAAATTAAAAGTATAGAATGCAAGGCTTTGCGATGAAAACGTGTTGCGACATTAATTTAAACAATAGACTTCCTTTTATAAGCTTTTATGTTCATACAAAAGTACTGATTGCTTATCTTGTTATAACAATTGCGAAATATCGACAAAAGGCTAACGATTTTTATTATAATAAACAGGATTTACCGTTGCTAGTCACATTGAATTGCAAAATGACGGCCCTTTTCCATTAGAAGCTACTGTTCGTTTAGGAACACCAAAAATAGAAATCTTTGTAATCGCAGCTTGAACCTATGCTTTAACATCTGTACTAAAATAAATTCTAGTCAATTATGTGATCTCCGTTAATCAAATAACCCCCAAAAAAATATGTTTAACATGCGAAAATACGTAAAGATTTTTGTTAGCATTAATTTACATACCTTGAGATCTGGCTATTTAAAGTTCATAGCAATAGACTTCATTACATAAAAAAAAATCTAACAATCTTTGATGTAATCACATCAGTGGCATAGACAAAATATGGTGTCAACGACCCCTATTGATATATTTACCGTCTGCTTCTCCGACACACGTGGCGCGTCACTCGGTCGCACCTACACCTTACAGGCACAAAGTATCCCAGTTGCGGCAAAGGCCCTGGCTCTGTGGAGTCACTTGAATCACTCCACTCGGCTTGGCTGAATGGATCGAAGTCCATTGCCGACGGCATAACTTTTTTTAGTGTTCTTCTTTTGAAAATTTTATTTTATTTTTTTGGCACTTTCTGGCGCGATTTTTATGTTGTGCTTGACATCTATGGTAATTATTTTTTTAATTGTTTTTACTTTTGCAAAAAGATGGTAAAACGTCGTATCGAGAGCGTCGCGGCGATTGAAATAACCTAAATTTATTTATTTTTGGCGTGTAAACAAATGTTATCAAACTGAATTCGGGTGCGTTTCGCTACAATTAGGAACAAACGTTATAAACGATAAGCCGTTACGATAAGATTTGGTTAGATAATATAATAGTAAGTATTGAAACGACTACATGAACTATTTAAAAAAAAACAAAGTATAAAATTTTTTTAGATCTAAAAGGGTTGGTAAAGGTTGAGAATATTGCTTCTAAAACATTTTTGATATTTTCACAAATTATGATTTTGCTACCAAAGATAGAAAGTATTTATTTTGGGATCACATCTGGCAAAGTTTTGTGTTTGTCGGATTGGTTTGCGCCCTTG